GTACACACAGCGTGGGCGCTAAATGGTTATTGCTGGGTAAACAGGGATGCGAAGAGACAAACAAATAGAATTAAATACTACATTCAGTTTGAATTTTACGACTTTATAAAACACGATTGTTTGTATTCCGTGAAAACGAAGTCAGTAATAAACCCATCGCCAATAAACACTAATTCGATTTTGAGAAAATAGCTCTCATAACTAGTTGTCGGTGTTTTAACTCAAATACGATTTATAGCCTTCTTCTAGGTAGTGTAACTAATTGTATTCTCAATCAAGGCTAAATAATGTTATACTCAGAGCGACACTATTTTGTTCGATATAAATTAGCATATAGATATCTGTTAACGGACAACACCGTTACGTAACTCGCCTTGATTGAGAATACAGTTACAGTGATGTGTTGTTTGAGGGAAGAAAGCAGGTAACTAAAAACGATTGTTATTCATTATTCAGAATCTGTGAACACATAATGCCATTAACAGGCGATCCCCATTTAAAGATAAACTCCAGTTCTGGTAAAAAAAAAAAAAATTAGTTCTCACAGAATCAAACGAAACTTACACTGAATGTTCAATATTACAAATAAATGACATGTGCCAAACAATTTTGGAACAAAATGTATACTGGCTGAGTAATGAGCATAGAAAGACAAGGACATCAAGGTAGTACTAGCCCCGACACCATGTGTGTTGTCCCATATACATCTTTCTGTGTACAGTGCTTGTTACTTTACCAAGACTCGGCCAAATTTATTATGATTTTGATGACTCCAGAACCTTGCAGTGCACACCAATACTTGCATGCTACATGATCAACTGTTTCTGATCCATTCCACACCTTTTCTTTCACAATGCAATCGCATTACCAGAACTGGAGTTTATCTTTAATCTTCCCCTCTCCTATGCTTTCCATGATCACCTTTTACACATTCAGCTGTAAGTCATGACCTATCACAAGCATTACATACACTATGAAAGTGACATTTTATTTATAGTACCCGTTGCACACGTGCGTATCCGGACACCTACCCCCTGGACATCCACCACCGGATAACCACCCCAAGTCAACTACCCCTAGGACAGCTACCCCCTAGGACAACTACCCCCTGGGCAACCACCCTCTAGGATGACTACCCCCGGACAACTACCACCCGGACAACTACCCCCTAGGATAGTGGTCCGTGGGGTAGGTGTCCTAGAGGATGGTTGTCGTAGGGGGTAGTTATCTGGGGGTAGTTGTCCGGGGGTAGTTGTCCCGGGGGATAGTTGACTGGGGGTGGTTATCCGGGGGTGGATGCCCAGGAGGTAGGTGTCCTAGAACGACACACGAGGCGTCATTTGTCTGACGCAGAACTGCGTCAGTGACTGTCGTTGCGCCAATGCACTTGTGAGATGAAGAGACTAAACAATGATTTGCTTTACCAGCGTATGCGCTAATTGCCTGAAAAGGCTCGAGTATAATAGGAGATGGTAAAACTGCAATGACCAGTGACATGACCCCTCTTGTGAAATTCGAGTGCAACAGGCATTACTAATAATAATGTTGAAATAAACTCGTTTTGAAAATCACTGTTTATCTGGTTATAACACATTTTATTCGTTTTTATATTCATTTTCCTATTTCTGAAAGTGATACTTGTGAGCATTTCTTTATGAGACGTTCTAAACAGGGGCTCAAACGATTTTTCTACTGGAGTGGAAAGTTCATAAACCTTTCTCAACCATCCTAAGTTATGCACACCTATACAGTATTGAAACGAACAAAATACATAGTTTGAATGGTGCAGTAATTTTGATTGAAGTGCAATAAAGAGAGATTAGATCAAACCTAGTGAGCGTATATCCCATCTGGTAGCTGAGAATGAATGTGGTTTTTGAAGGGAGGACGGTGGCAGAGTGACACAATGTATGTCTTGTATGAATGAAGGCTACGTGCGATTGCGCAGCTACTGCATGGGGGCGTGTGCCGGCCGCTAAGCGAATTTCGTTTTAAATAAATAAATAGGCCTAAAAGAAAAAGAGGGATTGGGAAAATAAACAAATCGAAGACAGAGGAAGATGGAAATGACGAGAAAGGAAAACGATATGCTACATCCAGCACCACCTCCTTGTTGACTCGCATTTCATTCACGAAATGTGACCAGTGCCCCCCCCCACCACCATGCGAGTGCCCCTGACTGGACCGACGCTACGCCATCATATCATTCAGAGTTGTAAAGGAATGCCCAATTGATTGATGCATTCCATTTGAGGGAATTCAATCTATATCTCACATGCTATATGGAGGGTTTAATATGAAGGGAAATGAATGCTCTCATCTCATACTTATCATTCTATTTCTCTAATGGTATTGAATACACGTATCACCCCTACCAGGCTGTAAAAACTTTCGATTTCTCTCTCCCTGCTTTACCGAAGGTAATACAAATTTCAGACAAACATGAATATTAGCTGAATTTTAATTCGAAAGGATGACTTAATATAATTTCATGTAGTTTTAAAGGCTACTATAGTACAGTACTTTAACTTTATCTAATTCAATGTGGTTTAATTTCACAAATTTTGATTTAGTTTAAAACCAGTTGAAATAGATGAAATTAAATTAAACTAAATTACATGTAATTTAAATCAATTTAATTCATTATTTGTTTCTTTTTCTCTATTATCATCATTGTCGTTACCGTCATCATCCATCTTCTACCCCTCCTCCTCCATTTCATTACTTCTTCTTAATAATTGTCTTTCATTCCTTCGTTCCATAATCACTTATCCTGTATACCCCATCACACCCATCTCATCTGATGCAGAGTGTCAAATATTATATCCATAACAAGGTAATGAATATACCACACTAATTACGTTTGGTTTGCTAATAGTGCTGAGCACTCGTTTACATAATGATATTGACATTCAGACTTCGTTTTAATTAGCACTAAGTAACCTGGACGTGACACTACAGGATTGTGTGATATTGTAATTACCACGGAACTGTATCCATCTAGACTTGGTGCAATTAAATCTAAATTGCCGCTATTTAACCGCCGAATGAGTTAACGGTTCAAGAACAGTTCATTAGGAGGTTTATTAAGAGTCATTTCGAAACACATTTGAAAGAGTAAAACTGGAATTGATGAAATTGCACTCTAATAACTCGATGTAGTTGAATGACTAAAAAACATAAATGTCTTAAAGTTAAACGTTATAGTAATTTAGGCCTTATGGGGGTCACACGTCACCCCTCATATTCAGTATAGTTTCAACCATATTATACGGTTTAATCGTGAATACGGCAGTGGAATGGGAATATGTCTCATAAGAAATTGATTGTCTCTCTTGAACTTTCCGTTTTTTGTTGTGTTCAGAGATGGATAAACAGTGCGAGAGAGCAGTGGAAGGTGAGGAGAAAAAAAGGAGGAGGAGGAGGAGAAAGAGAAGATAGAAAAGAAAAACAAAAGGGATGAGTAGAAAAGGAGGGTGATAAAAGTAGGCAGACAAAATAAATAGGAGGTGACAATCGGAAGCGAAACCAAACAAACTAATCACCGAGCAAAATAAACTAAATCATTGCTAAAGTGCATGGGATGAAAGCTATCATTTTAACCTTTAACTTCCAATTACTCTCTCGTTTTCGGTCATGGACAGTGACAGATCATGTGATCAACCGAGACACATTCATTCACGGGCCATTGATAAGCACACAGAAAGGACCTGCTCGACGTTATTTTCAATCCATAACAACTTCCCTAAAAAGTAGAATTCCTGATACTTTGTTTCACAAGCATGACAAAAGAAGGTTGAAATATACTATTTATAAAGCTAAATGTCAATACAATCGGCTTTGTGTTTGTGTGAATTTAGTCAAGGAGGTTAAAGAGATTATCAATACAACGGAAGTTGAGAAAAACAATTAAACGCATGGTTGTCAGTTTTGCGAAATGTGAAGGACCTAAAATAGATAAAGTATAAAATGAGCAGACAATAATCTGTTCTTAAGGGATATAGGGTGTTGTAATCCTTATATTTTTCTTTCAATCACATTCAATAGATTAGAATCCTTTTTCAAAAATCCAGACAACCACATCTTAAACAGTAGCCTCACGTGAAACTGACGATACAAGGCACTTGAAAAGTCAGTAAACACGTTGTAAAATAGCAAATATCATCGGTTTTAGTATACACACCAATTTCTGAATGATTAAATGAAGTAAATAGAAACGTGGTGAGTGATATATAAATACAGAATTTTAAATACCTTAAAATTGATGATGTAAAGCTCAAATAGAAAAACATCTGAACTATGAACTATGTTTGTTTGATATTAACATGCTCAATGAGATTGGAGAAACATTCCGGAATGGAAAATAGTTTCGCAGAAAACCAGTGAACTTTGATTAATCATGACCATAACATCTTCTTTGTATTCATTGATACCCCTAAGTGGTTTTGGTTTACATACAGGGGCACCGAGTCCTCTCTCCGTCGAATAATGACAAACGACTCAACGAGGGGAAAGAATTGGAACAAGAAACAAAATGCAAGGGAGAGGGAGAAAGGACAAGAAAATAATATGGTTGAACCCCTCTCACACCCTCCCCCTAATGATGAACTCGTTAATGTCATTCGTTTTATTCATCGAATAACCCCCCCCCCCCCCCCCCCTCCGACGTCAGGTCCCTGAATGTCTGATCTTACGCTATGCCACTCATCTTGGGAACGCCGAAAGATCCAAGCTGAAATGGGTGTAAAAGGACCTTCATTGCTGATGAACCATGGACCTACCGCGGGTGAACGAGCCTCGTACCTTCAAATAACAGCATTCACGGATTTGGGTAGATCACCAAAGGTTTTCAAATAACATGCAACAAATCAGGGTATGTGAGTGAACAAATATAGAATATCACTCTGCTACAACTCTGAAACATTCATAAATAAATGATTTGTCGAGATATCTCAAATTTGAATTGTTACAATTATTGGGTAATTCTGATCTGTACTCACCTTAAAATGTCTTTTGCTTGAAACAGCAAATCAACGTTCCAGACAGTGTGTCCTATTTCCTTTCAGTCTTGAGGCTGCCAGAGAAAATGTAGGACACTGCGATGAACAACCAGCAATCTGTCAAATAAATGAAAATTAAACAAAAACTGTTAAATCGATCTGTCTTATACCTACATCTCTCAAGTTCTAGTAAACATACGTCCGTGTTTACACTGGAATCAGTCAACATGATATACACAAGGCTGACAAGGATCCTCCCCCTCTTGTGTTTGTTTGAAAAGTAATTACAAGTAAAAAGTCAATATTCGTTACCAACCTAATGAAAGGATCGTATATCAAGACGGGAGCTGTATCTACCATAGACCTGCTACCACTGAGATAAAGACATTCCAGGGTAGGTAACGCCACGTCGGGCAGAATTGACGTTCATGAGGTTAGTAAGTACTCCAGGATTTGATGAAACGATTGCCTTTAAAAACTACATATTAGTCTAGCACTGTCCTTGAAGACTTCTGCAGAATATATTTACGCATGCTAACTGTTTAAATGAATCTATTAAATTTTGACAAAAGTCATGACAAAAAAAAAATCATGATTCTAATTTACACCTGTCTGGCATCAAATATAAACTATTTCAGATTTCAAAATATAAAGATAGTGTTGTCTTTACAATGAAAATCAGACAATCCGTGGATATAACAGGAAATTGATTTAAATTCACTAGAGCTGAATCATTTGAAGGGTAATCATCATGATATTCATCGCACATGCAGTGTGAATCGATGAATAAATGATGGTGATGGAAGTGATGCGTTGTCATAGTTACAGAGACGGTGTTGGCGATAACACGAAGGGGCTGGAGATGGGGAGGAGGAGGATGGCACGCGTTATGCGTCAAATATAGCGAATATTCAATATTATTAATGACGCCACATTTCATATTATGCACACAATCATATAAAAACTCGTGAAAGTGCGCTAAAATCGTCTTGAAATAACGTCTATTTTGGGGGGATGGGGGGGGGGGGGTCGTTGATGTGATAAAAAATGATGATAATGGATTCAAGGAAGAGAGCTACAGGGAGGAAAAAAGTATGTCAAATGTACAGAGAGAATGATGAAGGTAAGAAAGAAAAGAGGGAAGGAGATAGAGAGATAGAGATAGAGTGTGTGTGTATTTGGGAGTGGTGTGGGAATGTATGGGTGTGTGTTTGAGAGAGGGAGGGGTAGAGAGAACATAATAAGGGCTCAATTAGAATGTGGTTTAATACCTCAAAATGTGCATAACAGAGAGAATGGACTATAGTACCAAGGAGACATAGGTGATATTTCTATTTCTGAACCCATTCACTACCCCCTCTGAATGGTAAATCCTTGTCACATCACATTAATTCATCTACAACATAGTTACCAAGTCTAGATCTAGGTTGAACAAATAGGCAAAGCCCCAGGGTACCCATTGCGCAGACTGAGTGGGCCCTGTGGTATCTAGATCCATCCATAATCGAATGTTAGGAATGGGTTACATGAGAGTCAACATGAGCTGTTACCCTAGAGGACCAAAGACATCTTTAAATGCATGCAAGATGGACAATGATGCAGAGTTAAAGGAGACGCCGCGTGCGCAGGTTAAACCGGTTAATTCGAAATCCCACTCCTGACACCATTTCCGGTACTTCTGAATCAGTGACTCCTGACAGTCACCATGTTCGGTGCTTCTGGTTTGTACCATCGACCTACGAAGGTCCATGTTTCTACATACATTCATTCTGCATCTCTTTCCCACAATCATGTTAATGAAAAGCTATGATTTAAGGGCATTGACTCTGTGATTTGTCTACGATTAATATTATGATGATAATGTACGAAGAGGTATTGTGCAGTCTAGTATAGGTATAGTAGTGTGTAAAATTATGTACAAGTTTAAAAATATGAAATGTTTCACATCAGGAAGTGATGAATCTACAAGGTGCAAACACCTTGCGCCAGTATAAATAACTCCACTAGACAGGGTAATGATAAAAAACTCCTTGATCACTTTGGCTACATAACGTAGCTCTTTACACATACCGATAAGAAGGGAGAGGGATGAGGATAAAAAGATGCGAGAAAGAGAGCATGGGTGTGAGAGAGAGAGAGAGAGAGAGAGGGAGAGAGAAAGAGCCGTTGGCTGTAGGAAAGTGGCAAATATGTCGGGTTATTTCAAAGAAATACCATCGCCGAGTCATGTTGCACAAAACCAACAACACACCTGCCTCGTGGGACTACAGATAAACTTGAGCTACATGTAGAAAAGCATGCAGCCCCACCCGTCTGTTTTGATGTAAGTGTTCAAAGATGACACACGACACCAAATCGGTATATTTTAGTGTCATATTTACCCGAGGGGTAGATATTCATTGCTTGCGTAAGGAATGCAATCGTATGTCGATTGCCTAGAGGACGTGACTTCAAACCTCATGCCGTGTTAGACAAATCGAGGGAGACAGAATGTCAAAATACCGAATATTCTCACTTTTAATCTCTAAATATCTGCAGAAGCCGCTTAAAATGAATTTGAAGCTTCTGCATTGATTTTTTAAAATGTAGGCCTACTTCAGAAAACACAAGTTATTGTGAGTGTAAACGCAAACGGTCATTTTGTTTTGTTATTTAAAAAACACCCCGAAATATTAAAAATGAGAACTCAAATTCCTTCATAGGTGTGGATACATGATAGTATTACAGGACACAAACCCATTTCTTTTTTACACACGTATAATTGTAAAATTATCAATGAGAAATCATCGTTATGTTCATACACCGTTTCACCAGGGAGATGAGAGTTCACGAAGTTGATTTAGTTATTGCACAATCAGTTCAAAAGAATGTTTTCGTTCTAATAAAAAGCCCTTTGAATACTTAACAGGATAAAACTAATCCCTAAATAATTGTCAAATATGTGAATGAAATCTCTGCGGGATGTTGTACACTCTCCAAACAAGTAATATCTCATTATCGTTCAATAGGGAGATGAATGATAAAATAGAAAGGGAGAGGGGGAGGGAGAGAGAGAGGGGTAGATATATATATATATAGAGAGAGAGAGAGAGAGAGAGAGAGAGAGAGAGAGAGAGAAGCAAGCAGACAGACGGATACAACGCATCAATGAGCGACATAATTACAGAGATATGGGAACGTACGGCAGAACAGTCTAAAGAAGAATTTCAATCTATATATCAACAGCAGGTTATAAAGAGCTTAAAAATGAAGAAGAAAACAATCAAATTAAAGAAGAATATATTGAGAGAAAAGAAAAAAGAGGAGAGAAAGAGAAAGAGAGAGAGAGAGAGAGATAAAGAAAGAGAGAGAGAGATAAAGAAAGAGAGAGAGATAAAGAAAGAGAGAGAGATAAAGAAAGAGAGAGAGAGAGAGATAAAGAAAGAGAGAGAGAGATAAAGAAAGAGAGAAAGAGATTTATATTCATACCTGAATTTATTCATGATGTGATTCAGAATGGTATTTAAAATTATTGCTATGCATAAGTCACTGTCTTATCATGTTTTGTGCTGAAAGCCGGAGGATCGTACCTGCTTATAGACTTTTTCTTTATAGAGTCTTGACGCCCTTCTGGCTTTCAGCACACGACACCGTTTTATCTTATGTTTTACATATTACATGTTACACCAATGGAAAACAAATTTCTGTATTATATTATGGACAATAAAATCTTGAATCTTGAATCTTGATGGGATGGCGAGATGATGTCGTTGGAATACATTGCATAACTCGAGTATCATACTCAGAATAGGATCACCCAATGATAAATACACAAACACCATAAATGACCACGAGCATGACTTTTAACTCAAATCAAAGATTTGGTCTCTGTACTTTCATGCACCAAATTAAAACGATCCGTCAATAAAAACCCTTATTTTTACAACAGCATTACCCTCGACTACTCTTTACTTTCCACATGCCTGATTCTTTTATACGAGAGAATGGATGAACAGTTTTGGTTAAATATCCGTAGAAGGGCTACTTTCCTTTATGTTTGCGAAAGTTGGTTAAAACGATATCTTTTGTGACTGTAATCAGGTGTTAAAAATCAACGTGATAAAAAAAAAGTCATCGAACTCCCGGAGAGAGAAATTTAAAGAGCAGGTTGAGTTCTGGTAGAGGTGGGAATAATTCTTGAAATTTCTCATTCATTTTTTTCCTGCTGGGTTAGAAAAAAATAACCATGAAAAGGATTGTTCCTCAACCGCCCCCCCCCCCCCCACATTAAAATACGACTAGAAATAACTGTAAGAAAGTTTTGACCAAATGTTCATGTCACATTGTGAGTAGTTCCATAATTTGTGCGCAGTGAAGGCGACTTCCGGTAAGACTGGATTAATTTCTTATCATGCTCCTGGTTCTAAAACCTCACGCTACATGTATAATACACATCACATCTCAATCAGCCTTTCCCAATCGCTTTCAGAGATTTTTTTCCATAGCGACCAGAACTCAAATGTATATTTAAGACTTTCTAGTCAACGAACATGAAATATAAAGGAAGTGAAAAGTCAGAGTGAAACTTATCTCTGGTTTTGAAACGCATGGGTGATAGTTGCGTACATTTTATACACTGCTGTGGGCGGCCGAGCGACTTCCAAAGTGGGGGGGGGGGGGGGCACCAACAAAAAAGGGCACTTTCTGGAAAAAAGGGCACCTACAGTGGGAAATCTCAAAGGGAAAATATACCATTTTTTAGACATTGGTATATACCCCTACATGTACATTGTGATTACATTATCAGAGATGATTTCAATATTTGTTTCTCTTCATAAATCATACAAGATATCGCTTAAGCATCATACTTTACAATTGGGTGTGATGTCTGAATATGAATTTACGAGCGAACAAAGCGAGCGAGAAAAATTTTAAAGATCTGAGAGGTCGCAGTGCGAAAAATTACATCTTTTAAAGAGGAAAAAAGCCAATCGTGATGGGGTTATAAGCACATTCTCATAACGGAAGACTGAAAAGACCTTTGATAAGTAACATAATTATATCATCTTTAAATGCGAGCGAGTGCAGCGAGCGAACTTGGGGGGAAATTGCTCTTAGTCGCTTTAAATAAGGGGCAC